TTGGTTGGCACCCATCTCCAGTCTTCTGGCTTGGACCTTTCTTCGATCTCGGCGAGTCGGTTGGCCACAAAGGTTTTGAACTTTCTTGGTTCTGACTTTATCCACTGCAGCACTGTGCTGGAGTCGGTCCAGTAAACCTTCTTCGATATGTCGAGCTCTGATTCCTCTTCGATTGTGGCGGCTAGTCTGCTTCCGAGTAAGGCTGCTTGTAGCTCTAGCCTCAGAATTGACACAGGTTTCGTCGGCGTTACCCTTGGTTTGCCGGCGATCATGGAGACATGGACCTTTCCTCCGGGCTCTACTATTCTCCAGTAGACTACTGCTGCATAGGCTTCTTCACTCGCATCGGAGAACGTGTGTAGCTGTCCTTTTCTGCCTTTGGGTGAGACGCATCTCGGGATCTTCAGCCTTGTTAATGTTGAAACTTCTTCCAGGTATTTCATCCAGGCTTCTTTTTGATGTTCGTTGATAGGTTCATCCCAGTCTATTTTCTTTCGCCAGATGTCTTGGATTAGTTTCTTCCCTTGTATTATAACTGGTGTAGCAAAACCCATTGGATCGAATGTGGACATTACTGCGCTTGTGACTTCTCTTTTTGTTGGAGTCCTTCTGCCGTCTTGCAGGTCTTCCGGCGTGTTGCGTAGCCCGACGTTGAAGGCTAATGCATCTTCTTTCACCAGCCATCTTAATCCCAGAGTCTTCTCTTCCTTGGTCAGTTGTAAGGAGTTTTCTTTGTTTGTGTCTTCTACCTCTGATATTACCCCCGAGTTGTTGCTGGCCCATCCCTTCAGATGAAAGTTTGCTCTTGCGTGAATGTCTTTCACTTCTTTGGATATCTTCTTTGCTTCGGTTGTAGATGCGAAGCTCTGCAGATAGTCGTCCATGTAGTGATTTCTCTTAATTGCTTTCACTGCTTCAGGATGAGTGTTCTTAAATTCCTCTGCGTTCTTGTTCATTACATATATTGCTGTTGCAGGTGATGACGCTGCTCCGAAGATGATTGAAGACATTCTATACTCTTCAGGCTTGCCGGTTCTTCGGTTTCCGCGCCACAGGAACCTGAGACTGTCTCGGTCGTCTTCTCTGACTTTTACTCGGAGAAACATGTCTTGTATATCTGCCATGACGGCTACTGGTCCCTCTCTGAAACGCAGCAGTACTCCGAATGGTGATTGTAGCAAGTCTGGGCCCGAGAGCAAGGCGTCGTTGAGGCTCTTTCCTTCGTACTTGGCGGCTGCGTCGAACACTATTCTTAGCTTCTTCTTGACTGGGTGTACAACAGCGAAGTGGGGTAGGTAGAATGTCCTTCCTTCGTTAGAGGTTTCTGGAGCCTTCTCTGCGTATCCTTTTTCGATTAGACTCAGGATTTGCTCCTCGTAGTGCTTTCTTGCTTCTTGATCACGATCCAATTTTTTCTCGATGCTGACCAGGCGTCGAACAGCTTGATTGTAATTGTTGGGCAGGCGTTCATCTTCTTTTTTCCACAGGAGTCCCGTTTCATATTGACCGCTTGGCAGTTTCTTGGTAGTTTTCTCGAGGGTTTCTAATGCTCTTCTGTCGCTGTCGTTAGATGGTGAACGATTTTGGATCCCTAGAGACTCTAATTGGAAGTGTTCTCGGACGAGGTCTTCTATTTCTTCCTTGCCAGTGGTCGCTCTGCCATAATGAGTGAAGTGTACTGTGGCAGTTGTTCCTGTTTCACATCCGTGTAGCACCCACCCTAAGTTCGTGAGGGAAGCTACAGGATCTGATGGTTTGCCCTTCTTCAGTTTTCTTGTCACTATCAGTCCCCAATTGTCTTGGCCTATCAGTAGCTTGGGCCTCTCGGAGACGTAGAGGAGTTGATTTTCAATTGCCTTCAGGTGCTCACAGTTTCTCACGGTGTCCTTGTTTATGCATTGTTCGGACAGCTTCAGGTCATCGATGGTTCTTGCTACGATAGTTCTTTTTTCTTTTCTATGAGCCCCTTTTATTTTGAACTCGATCTTCTGTGAACTATCTTTTCTTAATACCTTTCCGCCGACGGTTTCGATCGTGAGTTTTTCTTTCTTTCCTTCGACTCCGATTTTCTCAGCGATTGATGCGTCTAAGAGTGTGACCGTTGACCCTTCGTCTAGTAGTGCCAATACGCGAACTTGTCCTTTTGGGCCATAGAGGTTCACGGGGATCATCTTTAGGTAGGCCTTTTCTTCTCCTTTGGCGTTATGAATTGAGGCGACCTTTTCTTCTGAGGTGCTATTGGTGTCTTTTGCTTCTTTTTCTATCGACGCCGGTGGTTTGTCAGAATGTAAGATGGTATGATGCCATCTTTTACACAACTTGCAGACTGGTGCTTTACAGTTGATTCTTGAGTGTCTGAATCGAAGGCACTTGAAGCATATCTTTGCTTTCTTGGTCATATTCCATTTTTCATTCAGATTGGCTTCTTTGAACCTTTTACATTCTAATGCGAAGTGTTCTTCCCCACAGAACGGACACGACTTCTTATATTTCTCTTTTGACGCTTCTTGAACCAAATGAACGGGTTTTCTTATTCCTCTTCTTTGTTCTGAGGACGCTTCGGGCGGGGCGAAGTCTCCACACATGTCTGCTTCTGTTTCTAGGAACGCTTCGATAAGTAATAGCTCCTGAATTTCCTCATCTCTTCTGCTTCTGTGGTAGGCGAACCAACGGAACTTCATTGACGTCGGCATCTTGTCTACTATAACTCTCAGCGTTTCAGGTGAACTGAGATACTGTGGTTTCTTCAGGGCTTTGATTGTCTCGACTGCGTTCTTTACTTTGCTTGCAAATATGCATATGTCGCTCGGGTTTTCGCCGACTCTTGGGAGGTTCTTCATTTTCTCTAGTTCTGCTAATGCTAGTGCTCCAGGTCTTCCGAATCTTGCTTCCAGTCCCTTAATCACTTCGCGTGGGTCTTCGGCGGTGAACAGCAGGCTTTGGACGGCTTCTCTAGCTTTTCCTTGCTCATCGCTATTCTAAGGCGCGCTAGGTTTTGGTTGCTACTGAAAGAAGCAGCCGTATCCTCGTATGATCTTTTGAAAGCTAACCATTCTTCGCAGGCCCCGTTGAAGTGAGGGAGTTCTAGGTGCTTCGGTGAAACGGTGTCACGTGATTTTTCTGATAGCTTTAGTATGACTGAAGCTAGTTCCTGGATGTCACTTTTCTTTTCTTCTGCCTCTATTGGTTTGTGGTTCTTATTAGGCATGTCTCCGGTCTGGATGAACCAGCGTTCGACTTCTCGAGTTCGTTCGAACAGCTCTTCTCCGGCACCATCTTCCTCTTCTGATTCCGCGGTGAGAAGTTCTAATTCCGCTTGAGCAACTTTTGACCGCGCTTCTGCCAATTCTAGTTCCCTTAATGCCATTGTCATCTTTGCTTGCGCTTCTGCTCTCTTCCTATGCGACGAGCGAACGGAAAGCGTGTCTGGATCGCGGGTCGTCTTCTTAGGGTGAGGCTGCTGCAGAGTCTTCATTGCGACACTTCTTTCTTGATTCTGCGGCGTTGGATGATTTTCTTCTTGGTGAGGAACTGACGCTTCGACGGTGCGTGTCGGGGGGGTGGTATGGGTTACGTCCCCCGGTGTTGATTCTTTTCCGGCAATGTTCTTGTTAAGGAGTACGGGTTGTCTGTGTACGCTGCTGGGCGATGCTCTTGTAAGCGTCGATCGATCTGAAGTCGACGTGTTGGTAGCCGTCGTGTTTGTAGCATCACTCGGCGTATTCATGCTCCAATCCGTCGTACTGGTACCCGTAGTGGCATTGCTTTCACTCGTAGTCTTCGACTGCACTGATTTTGATCTTGTATTTGAAGGTATCTTCCTAGTTTTCCTTAAACCCGATCCGGCTTCTCGAAGGACCAATTGTAAATGCTCGTATAAGGGAGCGTCGATAAAATAGAGCGGGTTTGCTGGCGGGATGTTAACTGGAGAGCATACAGTAGCAGTTAGATGAGCAATAAATAACACTTCTTGAGAGTTTCTTCTTATTTTATTTCTTGATTCCTTATTATTACATTGCCGGATTTGGAATGTTTTACCACGAAAAACGCCCCTTTTTTATAAGCGGCTGTAACCAATCGTAATTAAGAAAAAATCGCACACGGCATTAGTGAATCTATTGACCAATCAGAGCACAGAATAACCCTTTCTAAGAGAGATTTACAATTTCCTTAATAAACGTGGTAAAACATATCTTACAATATTTATATTTATTCATAGCGATAGATACAACTTATTTCTATTATTCTAAACCTAAATTATTCAATAAACCTTTATTTTACACTTATAAAAAATAAAAATAGCTTCGCGGTCGCTTCACGGTTTAGCTCCGGAGTAGGATAGTATTTTTTTGCCGAACATACAAGTAGCGCCGCCAAGAGGTAGGAATGTACAACACTTTTTTTCAGGATTAATGCTTAAAAATCTATACAATATTTTTACATAAAATTTAAATCTTTCTCATAATGAAATGACATTATATAGTGACTAATTGACATATTAATGTTTCTTTTGAATTACTTTAAAGTAAAAAGAATTACATTAATCACCTATATGTTAATAGCTCTTAAAGTTATGATAAAAGAAATCTTACTAGAAATAAGCTTATACTTGCGTCTAATGTTCTAATCAGACCTAAATAATATTAAATAGATTCATATAAGTTACTTTAAGATAAGAATAGAAGTGTTTAATTTACTTTCCCGTTTTCAGCATTAATCAGTCTTTACACTTAGCTTTATTTTACGAATAGGAAACAATTAAGATTAAATACTATCACTTAGTTTTAAATCACTGATAAGAAATAATTAAGATTAAATGTTCGAATTCACTTTGTCGTCGCTAACAATAATTATAACCCGTTGATTATTATAATTTATAACAATTAAAAGAAAATGCAAAGTTTAGGCTTCGTCAACAGAAGATGTCCTTGCGGCGATATATAATTTATTATAGTTAAAAATATATCAATTTATAAACAATTCTAACATTATACTTTCAGTATACATGCGACAAATGCGGCAAGGGTTTTCAAGTCCTAACTTGGTATGAACAGCACCAGAACATTCATACAGGAGTAAAGCCCTTCGTGTGTGAGATCTGTGGAGTCGCTTTCCATATGGACAGGTAATCGACCAAAGTGTTCTGGTAGCGGTGTTAGAGGATCTATTTCTATCTGTCTTATATTGAAATAAATATGACTATCAGGCACACAGTCCACCTGTACATTATCTTCATTTAAGAATGGAAATGCGGATTTGTTATCACCCCTGAGGACTCTCTTTCTCTATCTCGTTTTCTCTCTCTCTTTCTCTCTTTCTCTTCCTCTCTCTCGATTAGAGAAAGTTTTTAGCATGAGTTTTTAATGTAAATATTAAGACTTCATTTTATTTGTTACTTTGAGATTGAGTACTCTTTAGTCCACTCAAAAGCGTAGAGTTAAAAATAAAACTTAATTTAAAGTAAAAACTGACTTCAAAGAACTAAAATAAGGAGCTTTATTTCCTCGTTACTCTGTGTCTTTACACCGACTTTTAAAGCTGTTATGTAGTTTTTTTCTTCAGTTATTTGTAGTCGGCTTTTACGTTTTATTTATATCTGAAATTTTTACCCTTTTGAGTGGACTCGATGAAACTTAAGGAATACGACCAATCTCTCAGAATACCATCGTAAAATGGTCTCATAGTGCAGCCGTGTATCGTATGCTGTGTAAAGAACTGAAGACCTTTTTTATTGGTAAACCAAGGCATTCCATCTTGTCCTCATTCATCCATCCTGAGTCCATCCATCTGAGTTTTTATTCTTATGTATGTGTATCCAAGTATGGATATACGAGTGGCGTTCATGTATTCTCGGTATGGGTGTTTTAGAAAAAAGACAAAATTATAGAATTTTTTTTTTCAATATACTCTCCCATGACATCAATACATTTACTCCCTTGAAATATATATAGTAGTATATATAAGAGGAATCTATTATGAAATCCTTTTATGAAAAAATATTCGTCGTCTTGACCTGAAAATTGCTCATTTACAGCGGACTTGAGCTCATTATCGTCAGCAAATATCTTTCCTCGTAGGTAGGTAAGTTTGGGAATAAAAAGTAGTCACTAGGGGCTAGATCTGGGCTGTATGATGTGATGGGTGGTTAATTTCCTCAAACGCGCCGCGCCGCGCCGCGCCGTGTCAACTGGTGCGTTGTCATGAAGCAGTACTCCCTTGGTCAGCTTTCTTCTTCTCTTTTCTTTTATTGCTTCTCTCAAACGGCGCTAAGTAGCTGAGTATTTGTCTGCCTTGATGGTTTCACCGTTTTTTTTGTGTACATGATCAATAGTATTCCTTTGGAATCCCAAAACACTGTGGCCATGATTTTACCGGCCTATAGACTGACTTTGAACTTCTTGGTACCAATGGATAGGAATATTATATATATATATATATATATATATATATATATATATATATATATATATATATATATATATATATATAAAAGTAAAGTAACAGCCTATATACGTCCCACTGCTGGGCACAGGCCTCCTCTCATTTCTGAGAGGGTTTTAGGGCAAGGAATAGCCCGCCGCGCTGCCCCAATGCGTGTTGGCGAACTTCACATGTCTTCGAAATATTTTTTTTTCTTATTTCTCAGACATGCAGGTTTCCTCACGATGTTTTCCTTCACCGCCGAGCACGTGGTAAACAGCACTTAAAATTGCAATTAACAATTTCATTGGTGCCGGCGGGGATCGCTCGCTTACTGTGAAATTTACAGCGAACGCTAACCATCTGAGCTACCACGTATATATATAAATGTGTATATATATACACATATATATTAGTAATTTTAGCTAACATCTTAATTCTTACTGGTGCAGCTTCTAATATAAATGTTTCAATAATTTTCACATTTTATTCTATAGCCGCTGTGATTCGCCCACCCGGGCAGTCATCATATTCGATGATTTGCTTAACTCTTTTGAATTCACTTCACCACTTCTGTGTACGGTTGACATTGAAGGAGCAGAGGCTTCGTAAACGGCCGCCATTTCTTCATGGATGTTTTTTTTTTGAGATTTTCCTTGTTTAGTGATGAATGTAATCACCGCACGGTGTTCGATTTTTATTCAACATTGTTGAGTCAGTGATACCGGTGTCTATGACTGAAGGTTACATAAGAAATAATGAAGTTATCAAGACGAAATTTCATATTTATACTCTCAGGTTGTGTTGTTAGCTAATGATTTTTGAGTTTTGACGGGAAATTGGCCGTAGAAAGATTCTCGCTCCTGTTTAGTCGCTTGAATAATGGTTTGAAGTGGATTTTGATTCGTAAAAGTGATGCGATTTTGTGAATTAAGTGTCCGCGCGTGTGAACTATTAGAGAAAATGACGAAACAAGTGTATTGATGTCGATATAAACCTCAAGTTATTTTGATCGCTTGGGCGCCTTATGAACTTGAGTGGCTGTCGTCATCAACTGTCCGCTGGGTTGAGCTGTCGTCAAAATCTCACACTCACACACTTCACAATGTGACGCATCAGCATATTGTGAAGAAAAAGAACATAAAATGAAGATTCCAAAAGAAAGGATAGGCTCAGAAGGTCTAGAAACCAGAGCCGTAAAGCCATTTATTAAAAAAAGTAATGATTTTTTTTAATTACCTACATTATACATAGGACAGTACACAGTACAGAGTATACATAGGACGCCCTTAGTAGGTGTTTACAACACTTTATCCACTAACCATAAGGTGGACTGTGTGCTCGTTTGTCACCTCTTATTCTTTAAAAAACTATTTAGCTATTGTCGTTTTCTCATTCGTTACATCTTTGTAAAGAATTAGTATCTTTCAGATATTTAAAAGCTCATATTACAACCGTTCATCCACAAGCGTCAACCCGCAAAAGATTCCTCTGCGTCCACTGTTCGAAGCCATGCGACTCGAAGAAAGGACTGACATTGCATTTGAAGGTAGTTTATAATTTTCATTGCCTAAACTATTAATAATAATAATGTCCTTTAAATAGAATTTCGGTCACGTTGGCCAGTCGTAACTGAGACTAATGATACGTGGTAGAGCCACGCTGCAGCTATATTGTGGTTGCACCACGAATAGGTCGGCTCGATTGGGGTAGGACCACGATCTCACAGAATACCAGCGTAAAATAGCTGCTTTCGTATGGTAAGGTTAGAGACCCGGGGACCCCTTTTTCATTTTATTGGAAACGAGACATTCAATATTAGTCCGCAGGGGTGACAACGCATCTGCATTTTTATTCTTAATCAAGGATAGATGTGGATATCTATAAACTACAGTATCCGCTTACCATCAGGTGGACTGCGTGCTCGCTTGTCATCCTTATTTTATATATAAAAATTAAAAAAAAGCCATCGGCGCAGGACAGGATTATAGTGCCCAAGTGTATGCGGAAGCACAGGTGCACTCTCTATTCCCTCACTGTCTTATTGCTATGGAATGGTAATCCGACACAATCGGAGAGAGATCAGGCGCAAGACCAAAGTGCTTTCCGAGTCACGGATGTGAAACCCGGCCGCATTCCTGACTTCGGGTTTCTACTGAGAATTTCTTGACAGAAAATTCAATAATTGATTTCTTTGCCCGACCCTGGATTCGCTCGGGGCCTCATGATCAGCAATCGCATTTACCACTTGACCAATGAGGCAGTTGCCTACATTAGTCTTTAAACAGTCCACCGTTGGACAAAGTTTCAGACAGAAGGTTAGATTTTCTTATATCGTCAAGCAATCGGATAGGAAATCTGTTCTTCGTTCTTTGTCTCGGTATATATCTGATATAATATTATCATTACCAATACAGACTATCAAGTCTGTAATACACTCCTGAACATAGGATGCCCTATCCAGACAGGATAGATTGCCTGATATAGGGGATTGACATAGTTGTCAGTAATAGCAGCTTAATATTTCCGTGTTTACAACACGATCACGCGATAATATTCTCGAAATTACAATTTGTTATAATAAAAACGATGTTTGGTAATCAGTCTTTAAGTCTGAACAATAAGAATCAACAAAAAGAAATATTCCTTGTCAAGTGAGAGATGTAAAATTAAAAAATAATCAAACTCACAGAATACTAGCGTAAAATAGCAGCTCAGTGTCGCATGATGAGTGTAGACAACCGGATACCCCTTTTTACTGGAAACGAGGCATTCCATCTTAGTCCTCATGGGTGGCAATGCATTTAGATTTTGATTCTTAATCGAGGATAGATGTAGATGTCTATGGTCCACAGCGTCCATTTACCTTCAGGTGAACTGTGTGCTCGTTTGTCACCCTTATTCTATAAAAGTTTTTTAATATTTTGAGTAGTTACGGAAGATCATGCTGCCCATTTCCAGTATCAGTTTTTCTCTGCCGTCTTTTACGACACCCACGGGACCATATGGGGTAGTGAATATTCATAAGACCACCGCCGCTGTACGGTCAACTTAATTTCCCGATCGCTGTGCGCCAGCGATTTTATATTTAAATAGAGAAAGAAGAATGTCATTGGTCAGTACGATTCATTTAGTATTTATATGCGAGAATACTAGAACGATCGCGATTAGAAACACGTTTAAAAGAGAAAAACTTTTATGTGTATAAATATAAGGTTGAATTCTTCTTGTATTAATAAGTTTTTTTTTATAGAATTGGGTTACAAACGAACACACAGTCCACCTGATGCTATGTGGATGCTGTGGCTCACAGACATCTACATTTATCCTCAAATGAAAATTAAAATTCAGACGCGTTGTCACCCCTGAGGACTAAGATGTAATGCCTCGTTTCCAGTAAGAAGGGTCTCCGGTTCTCTACACTCACCATACGAAACAGCAAAACTTGACTGGACAAGAGATATTGATTCTTATTGCTCAGGCGTAAAGACTGATTTCCAAACATTATTATAATTACATTGGATTGTAAAGTTTCGGGAATATTCTCGCGTCATCGTGATGCTGCTACAGTCAGTCAATTGTCAGTTGCATGTTACGCAACTGAAAATTGACTGACTGTAGCAGCAATATGATATGAATTTTCAACCTTCAGGAGCACGGTATAACGACGAAGTTCCTTTGCGACATTTGTGGTAAAGTTTTGTCAGATGCTGGACAATTAAAGTTTCACAAGCGGATGCATCTGGGCGAACGACCTTACAGCTGTAGGTAAGTATGATCAGGCGTCTTTTCTTTATCTTTATATTATTGGCAAAGCAATGGTAAATTACCCGCAGATCGGTCTCACGATAGAAATAAAGTTGCCTTGAATTTAAATCCATATTCCTTATGTTTATACCTTTTATATTGTTGTCTTTTATGTCAATATTTGAAAAATGTTTTGCGTAGCTATTAAAGACATATACAGATATTTTGTAGGTGCATAAAAAGTATAGTTATATCACGTCCCACTGCTGGGCATAAGCCTTCTCTTACGTCATTTCTCAGTAGGTTATGAGGCAATTTTTCCATCGTTCTGCTCCAATTCGTGTTGGGGACTTCACAAGTTTTCGAAGTCTTTTTATTTCTCAGGCATACAGGTTTCCTCACGTTGTTTTCCTTCATCGCCGAGCACGTGGTAGATCAGCACTTATTAAAATTGTAGTTAAACATTTCTTGGTTGCCTGTGAGGTTCAGACCCAGGTGAATTGAGAACCTACTCTGAAATTTACAGTAAGCGCTTAGCTCCTAAACTACCACGGCCATAATAGAAGCATATAATATATATGTGTGTGTACACATTTCTCCCACTAACTTTCTGGATTGCTTGATGTAGAAAATGCCTTATGGCATTAAGTCTGCCTTTTGCATTATATGTATATTATTATATATTTTTACTGTTGGTGTATGTATTTATACTGTGAATATGTAAAAAAGGCACGTATGGTAATTCGTAATGCTGTGATAATCCCTACTTTAATGTATGGTAGTGAAAATAGAATACATGCTGTAGAAATGCGGTCTTTAAGGAGTATGCTAGCGCTAAATCTGAATGACAGGGTGAGAAATTGTGTGATAAGAGAAAAACGTGTGTAAAAACACCACAAGACGATGTTGTGACCAGGATTAAGAAAGGAATACTTCGGTGGTTTAGTCATGTAGAAAGAATGAATGAGGAAATAGTGACAGCAAATTTATATTGCAGATGTGAACGGCAGAGTTGGGAAGGGACGCCCTAGACGAAATTTCATCGACCAAATTGGCGATATATTGAAAATGGGCCACATTAGGAGTACCCTCAACCGACGAGCGTGTATGCGTAGATATAGGGATGTAAAGGAGGCGAGAGAGGTATGTCAGACTCGTGCCAAATGGAAGTCCGTAGTCTCTGCCCACTCCACTAGGTGACAGGCGTGAGGTTTATGTTATGTTTGTTCGTGTGTCCAATATACAAATAATACTCACGGGGGCTGGTCACCGGGCTGGAAGGAGATCAGGCAGCAGGACCAACGGCTTTACGTGCTTTCCTAGACACGGGGATCAACACTGCTGAAAACATTGAGAATTTCTTACAGAACAACTTAATAACTGATTTTTAGTCCGACACGGGATTCGACCTCGGGACCTTATGATCAGCATTGTTTACGACCACTAGACCGACGAGAGAGTCGAACATAGAAATACAGTATATGTGACGTTGCAGTACGTGCAGCAAGTCGTTCACGAAGCGGTTCAACTTGAAGCTGCACGCGCGCACGCACACAGGCGAGCGCGCGCACGCGTGCGCTGCGTGTGGCAAGCGCTACAGTACGCGCGCGACGTTGCTGCGGCACGCCCACAGGTACGTTGCTATCGTTACAGTCAACATCCACTGCTGAAAGTCCAGCTGGGTTTCTGGCTGGTTCTGGCCCAAGACAGAGGTTTTTCCAAACCAGTGGCAATAGTAATAAATAATAAATTTATTTATTTACCAGAAAACACTTAGCCAAAATACAATAAATTCTGTGACACCCACACTAGGCATGGCCTGTCTCGTGGGGGGTCAAACAAAAGATTTTACAATAGATCAAAGTGCCTATTTGTCGAAATTACAAATTATTAACAATTATGCGCAGCAAAGCAAAAATGACTTAAAAATTTATGAAAAATTACAGACATAACAAACAGATTCTAATTAAAAAGGCCTGTTACCTTTTTAAAAATAATTGTTTTTTGATTAACTTTTTTTATTTACTACACACTATTTTTTTCATATTTTTACATTGTCATCCGATTCTGAACTATTTTCAAAATTTCAATTCTCTAACTCATCGGGAAGTTAGTTTTAAAATCAATTACTAAATTCGGGTCGAACAGACATTCACGAAAGCGAGTTAATAAAAACGTATTAAGGGGAAATATAATCTCAAATGGCTTACCAAGATCCTTCGTTATGCCGAAAATATTGCACCATTAATTTTGAAATAAATATATGGTAAAGTTGAGGATTAATGTTAAGGATTATATTAGACGAAAACACGATTTCGTAAAATTTTCTCGATAGAAAAAAAAATCCAAAATAAACAATAAACCGCTGTTATTCATAAAAGGCTTGGCGTTAAGAAACAGGCGTAAATGTGATAAACCCAATGAAATAAGTGTCTAACGACCTTTCTACTTACAGTATTAGTGATTACAAACATGTCGTACAACATAGCATGCGACGCGCGGGGAAGTGGGGACGAAATAGAATTTGAGCTGACTTACTCTATCCCCTTAAGAATGACTTTCATTAAGAATTACTTTCTATATGGAATACAATCTATTATGAATTGCCGTATTAGTGGCGGTGTTACAAAGGTGACTAGAGAGAACACAGTCCACCTGATGGTAAGTGGTTGCTATAGCCCATAGACATCTACGTATATCGTCGATTATGAATCAAAATGCGGATGCATTGTCACCCGTGAGGACTATGATGGAATGCCGCGTTTCCAGTAAAAAAGGTGTCCGGTTCTCTACACTCACCATACGGAACACAGTAGCGCTAAGCTGCTATTTTTTATGTGGTAGAGAGTTAATCCCTCTCAGAAATGTGAGGAGACCTGTGCCCAGCAGTGAGACGTATAAATGGGTTGGCTATTATATATATATATATATATATATATATATATATATATATATATACACAACATGTAACAAAAACCCTGTGGTTCCCGTTAAGTACGTTATCGGAATCAGTATCCAAGCGTATAGAAATATTTAAAAAAAAATTATTTGCAAATTGTATGTGGTGTTATTATCTCTGCATTGGCCAAGGAGTAAGAGGATTGTCAAAAACCCCGCATTACCGATACCCGTGTGAGTTAGAGGAAATAAAACCACATACAATTTGCAAATTATTTTTTTTCCATTAAAATTATTTTTTAAATGTGTTTTTGAAAAAAAAAATATTTCTATACGCTTGGATACTGATTCTGATAACGCAGTTAACGAGAACCACAGGGTTTTTGTTACATGTTGTATATATATATATATATATATATATATATATATATATATATATATATAATATATATATATGTATATATATAATAGAAATATATGTAGATTATATTAAATACTTTAGAAAGAAGACTGATACGTTTTCATACATTCTTGGCTCAGATTGTAAAAAGATGAAAGAGGTGTCAATCAATAGATTATATATTGTCAATACATCACTGAAAATTCGGCGGATTTTAGTAATCTGAGAGCAAAGTTATAAGAGATTTAGTAAAGTGAGGTTATACAACCAGTTGGCAACAACATAAACTAAACAGCTGATTTTTGAGGTGCGAATGCTATTTTGTTTTATTACACAGTTGTTGAGTGTGGCAACATCGTTTCCGGGACACCTGAGATTTTGAGTGAGATTGAGAGGTTCTATGGGCAGCTGTACACATCATCGTTGGAGCCACACGCAAGTGTGAGTAACGATCCAAGAGCAAGTCTTATCCGACACTATTCCGATGATATCCCGGACGTCAGTCTAAGCGAGATTAGAATGGCTCTCCAGCACCTTAAAAACGGCAGGGCCCCAGGCGAGGATGGAATTACAGCGGAGCTTCTGAAAGCGGGTGGAACACCGGTACTTGAAGTCCTTCAGAAGCTCTTCAATTCCGTCCTCCATGGTGGCACTACTCCAGAGGCGTGGAGCAGAAGTGCGGTGGTCTTGTTCTTTAAGAAAGGCGACAACGCTCTCTTAAAGAACTACAGACCGATTTCCCTTCTGAGCCGCGTCTACGTGCTGTTTTCGAGAGTCATTACGAATCGTCTCGCACGCAGACTTGACGACTTCCAGCCTCCCGAACAAGCCGGTTTCCGAAAAGGCTTCAGTACCATAGACCACATACATACCCTGCGGCAGATTGTACAGAAGACTGAAGAGTACAATCTGCCACTTTGCCTGGCGTATGTGGACTATGAGAAAGCCTTTGATTCCGTCGAAATTTGGGCGGTGCTACAGTCCCTTCAGCGGTGCCAAGTTGACTGTCGGTATATCGAAGTGCTGAAGTGTTTGTACAGTAGGGCTACGATGGCTATCCGAGTACAGAACCAGAGCTCGAAACCTATCCAACTGCAGAGAGGTGTAAGACAGGGTGACGTTATATCCCCGAAACTCTTCACCGCTGCATTGGAAGACGTTTTCAAGCTACTGGACTGGAAAGGATACGGTATTGACATCAATGGCGAGTACATCACTCACCTTCGATTTGCCGACGATATAGTCCTTATGGCAGAATCGCTGGAGGACTTAAGCACTATGCTCAATGACCTCAATGGTGCCTCCCAACGGATAGGTCTTAAGATGAACATGGACAAAACAAAGATCATGTTCAATGTCCATGTCACACCTATGCCGGTAGTTGTTGGGAGCACTATGCTCGAAGTTGTTGACGAATACGTTTACCTGGGACAAATAGTCCGACTAGGTAAGTCCAACTTCGACCGAGAGGTCAATCGACGGATTCAACTCGGCTGGGCAGCGTTCGGGAAATTACGGCATATCTTTTCGTCAGGTATACCTCAATCTCTAAAAACTAGATTGTACAACCAGTGCGTGTTGCCAGTGATGACTTACGGATCTGAGACGTGGTCCTTCACTGCTGGCCGTATGAGGACGCTTAAGGTCGCTCAGCGAGCTATGGAGAGGGCTATGCTCGGAGTTTCTCTGCGTGATAGACTCAGAAATGAGGATATCCGCAGAAAAACCAGAGTGACCGACATAGCCCAACGGATTAGTAAGCTGAAGTGGCAATGGGCCGGCCATATAGCTCGAAGAACCGATAACCGATGGGGAAGAAAGGTTCTCGAGTGGCAGCCCTCGTACCGGTAGGCGTAGTGTAGGGCGACCCCCCACTAGATGGAGTGACGACCTGGTAAGACATGCAGGAAGTCGATGGATGCAGGTGGCTCAGGACCGTGCTTTGTGGCATTACTTGGGGGAGGCCTATGTTCAGCAGTGGACTTCTGAAGGGCTGTAATGATGATGATGATGATGACACAGTTGTTTACAAAATTAATTGTAGTATTTATTGTATTGTATTGAGTGGGAGGATAATAGAAAACTCACAAATAGATTGAAACGTAGGGAAGGTTACGTATAGATTGATTCAGGCAGGAACTGTGACTGTCAGCACAGATTAAAAATACAGTTGTTAAACACCAATAATAAATCGAACTGTATACGAGAATCGATTATAAGATTTATTTTTATTATGTTGATATTTTATTTTCAAAACTGTAATTTAATTGGAATTTATATTATTACTTTGATTGAATCAATTATTAATAATAATCTGCTATAAATTGTTTTTATGTTTAACTGTCAAAACTCATTCACATTAATCGATTAAAATAATCGAATTCTTATTTTGTTCGTGACATAAACTTGTTTATGTCACGAACAAAATAATGTCATAAAACAAAATAATGACATAAAGATTTCTCGTCTTCCGGATTGTGTATTGGGCTAATTTTTATATTTTGAAATAGAAAAATATAAAGTCTTTTAAACCAATTTCAACTTATTACAAATGGGCTCAAAAATCCCCGTCTCCTTTGTCATACATACTTCTACTGTAGCGATTATAATATAGTGGATTTCTTTTTTGATGATGTGAAATGTAATGCAACTAAAAAAATTTATTTATGTCATCATCATCACCAGCTTGCGGCTGTTCAATGCTGGGCATAATATGACTATCCCAAGATGGGTATTTATTTAACGAACTACGTATTCACAAAAATGTTCATGTGTTTATAGGCTTTAGGCGCACTAACTGAAACTTACCACTATTAAATCTATCATAAAATGAATCAGACTTAAAAAGGTCCTTTTTGTTTCAGATTTCACAAAGGAAACGTTACTATAGATTCAACGCAAAGTGAAACTTAAGTTTAAGAATCAAATTATATAATCCATATAAAAGACTGAAGTCAAGAGTGATTGGAACACTAATTACGGAGGTTATGGTCAAGGGAGCGAGAATATCGAAGTTTGCATTTAAAACTATAGATAAATAAATAGAATGAAAAACGTATCTTGCTTTTTATTTACGATACCTAAGTGGTATATAAACGTTGCTTTAAATGCTGGTGGCTCAGGACCATGTTTTATGGCATTACTTGGGGAAGGCCAATGTTCAGCAATGTGCCACATAGGAGGAAATTTCCTTTCGTAGCGAAAAGAAACTAATGTTATATCTTAAAGAGAGGTCAATTAATAAAAAAATCGGACAATTGGATAATAATAATAATATCCTCCCTACCGAATTTCGGTCTCGGCCACCAGTCTCAACGCAGACTGGCCATCTGCGCTGAACAGGATTATAGTGTCCAAATTATGGAGTGTAGAAGTAAGGGGTATCAACTCCCATAGTAGAACGGTTGAAAAGTGGCCATCTCTAAGCAGTAAATAACAGTTCAAAAACTCTCCACAACAGCGCTGGAGTAGCTACTGGGATGAAATGAACTTAGCAGTTGTCGACGGTTTAAGTGTGCTGCTAAACTGCTCAGTAGCTCTAAAATCTAAAATAATTTTATTTAGTAAATATAACCTCGGAAAAGTCGTCTATCCCATTAATATTTTCGTTGCGTTCTTTAAAATTTATCCCGTAGTTATAGTGGCGCCACCCTTATCTAATAGTTTCTATGGACACTTGAATACACAGTCTGTACTCCTTACTTCTACACTCCATAGTCTAAATGTATGCGTAAACACAGATGCACTCTATTCCCTCACTCTCATAGTGGATAGAACGGTAATTCGACACGATCAGAGAGAGATCTGGCGCAGGACCCATGGTTTTACGTGCTATAATTGATTTTGACCCGACCCGGGATTTGGACCCAGGATCTCATGATCAGCAACAACGTTTACAACAACTAGTTCGACGAGGACAGTTAATGGACTACGAAAAAATCAAATCACAGTTTGCGTGTGAAAATAAAACGCATTTTTATTATCCAATATTTCGTTTACTTCGTGCAACCAGTGAACGCAAATTTTACTAGCATTCACTAATGGCGACATCAGTAACAAACAACATGTCCTGCCATATGATTTTTTATAGAAGCGTGAGAAACGAGTGCACAGTTCACTAGATGGTAAGTGGATGCTGTGGTCCATAGACATCATCATTTTATTTTTTTATTTGATTAAGAATCAAAATGCGGATGCGTTGTCACCTCTGAGGACTAAGAAGTAATGCCTCGTTTCCAGTAAAAACAGTCTCCAGTTCTCTACACTCACCATCCGAAACAGCAGCATTAGTTTGCTATTTTACGCTGGTATTCTGTGTCAGCCTGGTTCTTTTCCGGTCGAGCCGACCTATTCGTGCTACAATCATAATATAGCTGCAGCGTGGCTCTACCACGTATACTCTATGATGTCATGCTTTCGTTAATACTTTTTTGGAACGAGGTGACTTGGCTTATAGTCGGAGCATGTACCGTCTACCATTTTAGGAAGCACATACGAAAGAAGCTTTGAACGAAGCACTTTGTGTCAAACCCCATCGTAGGCCTTCGCTATGGCCAAAGTAACGGCCAAAGCCTTTCCTATTGGATTCTACTGCCCCCACTCATCTATGAGTCAGGTAAAGAAGAAGAACAGATAGCAGATGCGTGTTATCACCAAAGCTGTTTCTTCAATGACATGTTGCAAACCGGTAACATTAATTGTTATGCAGACGTCAGCACTGGTGATGCTTTATACACCGGCCGAGCCAATATTTTTCGGGAAAACGTCGCCGAGTACCGGGACAAACTTGTGTCTGAAGTCGATACTTTGTAGTTCAAAGTCTCAGATTGGAGCCGACTAAATCAAGTCCAGTTTAATCCCCAGAAGATAAAAGTTTGCACGTTTACCGCTAAAATGAACCCCTTTGTATCTCCTCAGTTTCAAGGCACTCCCTTTTTGCCTCAGGCACTATCGGAATCCTCGGTGCGTCGACATATCAAGACGCGCGTGCATATGACGACGTGCAGTTCCGTGGTCACTTGGAAGAGAAGGCCAAATTAGCCTCTAAAAAGCTGGGCGTGCTCAGCAGAGCGGGATAGTATTTCATGCCAGTTCATCGCCTGCAAATTTTACAAGGCACAGGTTCGGCCGCACATCGAATACTATTCCCATCTCTGGGCTGGCATCCCTGTGCCAGTTCCTTCCATTTGATCGCATCCAGCGCAGAGCTGTTTGAATCGTTGGCGACCGAGCTCTTTCCGATCGGCTTGACTCACTGGCACTGCGAAGAGATGTTGCATCTCTTTGCATATTTTATCGCATCTACCACGGGGAATGCTCTGAGGAATTGTTGGGACTAATTCCAGCCGCACAATTTCACCATCGCACATCGCGACAAAACTCGCGATACCATCCATACCATCTGGATGACTGGCGGTCCACTACAAAGAATTAAAGGATTTTTCTTCCTCGCGCAGATTCCATGTGGAATCGACTACCACCAGAGATTTTTCCGGACCGACACGTACTTATGGACCTTCAAGATCTTTTCTTTTTTAAAGGCTAGCAACGCATCTGCAATTCCCCTGGTGTAGCAGTTGTTCATGGGCGGCAGTAATCACTTACCATCAGGTGAGCAGTATGCTCGTTTGCCCCATCTCGTATATAAAAAAATTACCCTGTTGGTAAATCAGGCCCTGCATTTGTCATTATAAAATGCTTTTTTTACTGTTTTGTATGTGTCGAAATTGTTTATTGTTCACTGCCGCTATCCGCGATTAACTTTTAACTATATTATAGCTATTACATTTTTCTATATTTCACTATATACTTCATATATATTTTTATATTATGTCGCTATTCTGCCACACATTTCTCTGCGTTGTTCAACACTATACACAGTACATGTTTACTATATTCTGTCCATACTTACTGATGAAATAAAATATGACTACGCGATACCTTTTAACTCGCTATTTTGTTCGATAAACTAGCCTGTCACTACTGTAACTTACTACTGTAAGTATATAATTAATCCAAATAAATAATAATCCAATATATATATATATATATATATATATATATATATATATATATATATATATATATATATATATATATATGTTTTAACCGCCGGATTACTACTATTATAGGTTTTTGACAACAGCGCTACCTACCGGCTCCAAATGTGTAAACCATTTAGGTCTAGGGGTCTATTCAAACACACAAAATAATTATCGAAATTGGTTTGATAGTTTCTAAATATATAAATTGGTTTGATAGTTTCTAAGGATACTGTACTATGTGGATGACACCGCTATTATTTTCACCGCTAAGACCTGGGATAAAATTAGGTACTACTAGGTAGAGTTAGTCACTGGCTTAGTGAGAATCTCCTTAATTTTAACACTCAAAAAACGAATTATGTATGCTTCGCTCCATATATAAATTCGCAGCCGTCACCTAATTTTGAAATCAAAATTAAGTCCTTTGGTACACCTTTCCAACATGGGCTCGTAGTCAGTGTAAGCACTGTCTGCTCCGGTCTACATGAAAACTGATGATTAGATTGCAAAATTTCTTCAGAAAGCCCATAGGAAGGAAGCTTCTGAAGAAGCGCTTTGTGCCAAAGCTCATTGAAGACTTATACTATGTCCAAATTAATGACCAAGACCTTCCCCTTAGACTCTAACGCTTCCGCTCATCTATGAGTTAAGTAAATTAAAAGATAAGAACTGGAACCCGTTCATTAGTAAACGCCAACGTGGTGGTCCTCAAGGTACCTAATAAGCTGGAAGTTTATAATGCATTCCATTATTTTGGAGAACAAAGAAGCGATGATGATAATCCTGTAGTTGGACGGATTTGAGTGGTTGCCGTAAGTTCGGGATTATACGAACGAACAGATTTAACGGTGGTAGAGCGCAGCGGCAGCTTTGCTGTTACACGTATGGGCCGGCTCAAACCGGGGTGGTACCACGACCTCACAGAATACCGGCGTGAAGTAGAAGCTCTGCTTCCACGTTTCGTCTGGTGAGTGCAGGTGGCCCGAGGCCCAAATCCTCCCCCCATCAACATAGTAGCGGTATTAAATGTCAAACTACCCCAGGAGGGTACCAGCACCCCCTGGAGAATCCCTCGCTGAGCATCTACGACCAAGTTACTACACTCCTGAGCGCAGGTGCTCAGGCTGCCCCGTGTATTCTGGGGGGGGGGGCGAAATTCCGCTCAAGACTACAACTGCTCGGGGCAAACGGAGCAACAAGACCAAGGCGACCCCTGCCACGCTATCCGTGAATTTCTGCAATATCAGGGGACTTCACTCTAACCTAAACGCCGTCCACTACAATCTCGAGACGGCGAAGCCGGCTCTGTTCTTTCTGACCGAGACGCAGGTGTCCTCTCCGGCTAATGTCTCGTATCTCTCCTACCCAGGGTACAAACTGGAACACTCCTTTGTGCCTCGGGCTTGAGTTTGCGTTTACGTCAGAGAGGACATCTGTTCTCGACGCCTCGGCAGTCTTGAAGGTTCGGACCCTTCCATCCTTTGGCTACGCGTAGACAGCGACGACCATCCGTGCGTCTACGGGTGCCTCTATTATAGGTCCCATAGCGGTAATGCCGAAACAGACCGACTCTTCGACCACGTCCAAATGGCTACAAATTCATTGCTACAGCAGATCCCCTCCGCAGAGATCGTGATCTTCGGTGACTTTAACGCCCATCACTGGCTTGGTTCACGTTTAACCCTTTCCTGTTGGACCTTCTGCAGAGCTCTCACCCGGACGGATATCAGATTTCTGTCATGTGTCTTTAGGCTCCTCAGACCATTGTCTTGTCCGGAGTGTAGTGCCACTCACGCTGATATCGCAGTTGCATGCTGCGGGCCGCCGTGTTTGGCACTATAGGTCAGCCGATTGGGATGGGATGCGGTC